TGTGTAAGAAGCACGTTAAAACTTTAAAAAGGGATAAGTGACAAGGAAGAATCCAAGTCGTATCTTGTTTCCGCACAGAAGTACACTCAAAGATTGGTATTGAGTTTCAAATATAGGAACTTTGCATAAGCGAAAAGCATGAGTTACAAAAGTGTGTCTTAAAGGAAGAGTCATAAGTGCCTTCGAAAGAATGTTTATGGCTATGGAGCTTCAAGTATGACATTCGAGTGATGGTTGGAGTGAGATGCAGCCCAGGTTTCGATTCCCAATCCTCTGTATTCGTGTAGGTCTCAAGTACTTAAAGGTTAAGTCTTTGTTGTGAATGTTCGGGTGCCATCTTGTGTACTTTTTTTAATTCACATTATAATTTAAGTAGATAAACATTAAACAAGTTATTGATCTAAAGTTTTTATACGGTACAAAATTAGGTTAGTAAGTAAACACCACATGTACACATCATTAAATTGTAAAGAGTGAAAAGCATAGAGTTCATCATTTTAATTTGGGCAACTTTTTGTTTGTGTGTAGGCATTTTGGAAATAATGATAAAGTAATCAACATGAAGGCATAATTGACCAAATTACACAATGGAAAAAATTATTGGTTTTGTATTGATTTTATTTTTTAAAAAAGATATTCCAATGTTACACTATTTTATTATGCCACATAAATGATTGTTCTACTAAAATTAGTGTGATCAGAAAACTTAAAAAAGAAACAATGGAACAAGACTAATAATTAACGACTCATATAGTAAACAATGGTTTCTAAAATAACCATTGAAGCCTTTATAAATCATAGACAACACAGAGAAGTGTTAGAAGAGAAAAATTAGCATTATATACAGAAATGGTGGGGTGGAAACACAAATACAAATTATGCTAAAATTGATTTTAAGTCAAAGATACAAGTTACAAAGAGTTCTGGTTCAGAGGTAAATAGACTTCTGGTTATGTTTTTAGTCCTTCATGAAATAAAAATTACTGATGAAAAAATAAGGCAACAACTGAGTAATCGCAATTAAGATAGTTACCATTATCATCACGTAGTTGTTTTTTACGTTTATGACTTGTTTTAATAGTTTTTTCCAAAAATGTATATACATCGGACAAGAACAAATTCATTTTTTCCTGTGTTTTTTGTGTAATGCAAAGTAATCCGTTGGGATAGTATAAACATAAAAATGAAGTCATTAACAATATATAATAGCTTCTATATGATAGTAGTTTGATTAAATTTAATTTGAAGGGAGAAGTAAAAATATACGTGGGAGTGAAGATGCTTTTGACACATGAACCCCTGAGCACAGTACATTATCTGTATTTAAACCTGGGAAAATAATTACTTTTTAGAGATAAAAATAGAAAAGATCAAAATCAGAAACGTATTTGGTAATAGAGGTCTAAAGAAGGTCTAAATATAGTAATATTTAAATATAATCTGAAGAATGTAATGGTTTAGGCTTACAAATGAGTGGACAGAAACAGGCTTGTGTTAGAACGCCTCCCAGGTAAATTATGTACGCTTGGTGTTCATTCCCGAATTGGAGGCATCTTGGCCATGTACTAAAACTCTGCTCATTTCATTTCATAGCAGGAAGGTGCTCGGTGTATTATGGGGTCATATGCGGGAGTAAGTTATAAATTTTTTGAATTTATAAGAATAATAATAATAAGTGCTAACAATAATAATAGTGAAGAAATGGGTGACAAACAAAGGGTGGATAGTGTATAAAATATATGGCTTTGGTGAGTAGTACTTGTTATTACTTAGGTTGCAACCTTTTGGTGTCCGGTCTCTAGGGTTTGTGTGTAGTAGCTTGACAGATGTGTGATGAATTGTGTTGTATTGTCATTTTTAAGTGTAGTCATAGTTTATGGGTTTAGTAAACTGGGATATGATCACAAGCCAATCCATTTGGATTGCAAAGAAAGTGATGTGATAGGGCCAAAGTGTTTAACAATTTTACTTGATTGAGAATCCAGTTCCCCACTTCCCTGCATAACTTGATAACCCAGTTCCCCACTTCCGTGCATAAATTTTCAGAAACATTGTCACACAGTTGTCTTCATTGAGAGGGAGAGAGATAAAAAACTCAATTTAGCCATCAATTAAACACTGATTTAGGTAACCTGATGGTTCATATTAAAAGGCTCAATGGTTTTAATTTGAACTTTGCAGCCACATACATGGGCGTACTCCTTGTTAATAGTGTTATTGGTGTTTTTCGATATCCCTCTGTTGCTTAAAATACCCATGTCAAAGACAAAATCCAGAATGTATGTTAGAACGTACCCTAAACGTAAACCCAAATATCAAAAGCTTTTATAGGATTCATATGAATAAAATTTAAAGTGAATAAGTTTGAATACTACCTTGCCTTTCATAAATATAGCGATTAGAATATGGTGGTGTTTAAGTTACGTTTTTTCCCTCTGTTTGCAAGATCTCTAAACGGAATAGCATTGGTCATCCTCTTCCTAGTCCTGCAAAGAGTGATTATGTGAATGAAGTTTAATATTAAACTTGGGAGAATAATTTTATGGTGGTCTTAAGCTTGGGAATAGCATTAGGTTTGTTAATGTTGTTAAGTGAATGAAGTTTAATATTAAAGTCATTCGGAGAATATTTAGCATGGTAATTTCCACTGTACACCGCCATTGGATGCATGCGTGTTGTCTTAATGTTTTCAAAACTGTGAAAAGGAAATGCAACAAAGATGTATGGAATGTAATCATGTACGAAAACATTTACTGCATCATGACATATATTATAAGTAATAAATGAGAACTGGTTTCACATTGGTCAATTAACATTTGTTGGAAAAGTTGTTTGAGGTACATCATAGGAGTTAAGGGATGAAATACTTCTTATTAGTTTGGTTGGTAGGACATTGATTGCTCTGGGATTCGTAAAGGAGATCACCTTCAGAGTGTAGCTGCAGTTCCTACAAATGGATTTTGGTTAACTCTGTTCTCCATATTGATTCATGAATTGTGTTGTGGTGTATTGAGGTGGTTGAATTAGTGGGTATTGGATGTTACCTGGGTCTATGTATTGTAGGATTTCGTCGTAAACAATGTTTGTTGTGGTCGTTGTACTCTTTTCTTGGCTATCTTCGTCGAACATAACCATTTTCACATTTGTTGCCTTTTGTGCTCTTGATAGGGTGACATATAATTGGCCATGGCTAAACACTGGTTCTTTTAGGTAGATTCCAACAGTCTTAAGTGTCTGTCCTTGCGATTTGTTTATTGTCATGGCAAAGCACAGTTTCACAGGGAATTGAAATCTCTTAAATGGAATAGGACATTCATCGTCCCGAGATATCTCGAGTGGTATCCTCGGTATGAAGACATGGTGTCCCTTTTTCCCGCCTATTGCTATTGTGCAACTGAGGATATGGTGTTCGATATCTTTGCAAATGAGTTGGGTGCCATTACACAATCCTTGAGTCGGGTGCCATTACACAATCCTTCTAATGGGTTCAAATTCCTAAGTAAAATGATAGGACACCCCCTTTTGAGGATTAACATGTGTGGTGGTAGACCATTGGGTGTGATAGAGTGCAAATAGTCCTCACAATGTAAGTGTTTGTTGTTTGTGGGTGTGTCTATACTGTAAGAGTGAATTGGGTTGCCTGGGAATGCTTGTATAAGGGTTGAATTAATTTCATCCACTGTTTGGTTCTTAGGTGTTAGAATGGCAGTGTTTAATTGCTCATATGGGTCATTAATGAATTTCGTCAAGTCTGGAAACACTTCCTTAAGCAATGTAGCTAATGGGGAATGGTTTTTTTGTGGGGATACTATGAAGGAGGATGGTATTGGTATTTTATTACCGATTGATTTTGGGATTGTATTGTTGCCAACACGGAGTGGAAATTCACAAAAAATATGGGTCCTCATTAGCCCGCATGTTTTGTGTCAATGATATCCTTGTGACATTTTGCCAGATGTGATGGGATCGTACGAACGATGCTGCTATGATGTCTTCCTTAGTGCCTCTCTTAACGACTGGTAAGGTTTGTCTTAGATCTCCCCCAAATACAACAACTTTGCCACCAAAGAGGTTTGTCGTGTCCATTATATCTATGAGGAGTGCATCGACTGATTCAATGGACTGTTTGTGTGCCATGGTAATTTCATCCCAAATGATAAGTCGACATTCTTTTAGTAGTCTTGCCTCAACAGTGTGTTTCCCAATGTTGCATGTTGGTGTGTCCTGGCCATCTATTGGGATCTTAAAACGAGAGTGTGCTGTTCGTCCTCCGGGTAAGATTGATGCAGCAATTCCAGAGCTTGCAGTTGCTAGTGCTACCCATTTTCGCATTCTTACTGATGCGAGTAGACATTTGTAGAGGAATGTTTTTCCGGTGCCTCCTGGTCCATCCACGAAAAAGAGTTTTCCCACATTTGAGTTGATTGCTGTCATAATTTCATCATATGCAGTTCTTTGGCCTGCATTTAGTTTGTCAATGGCTTCAATATCAGCTTCATTTAACGGGATATTGTATTCTGATGCTATTTCTCTAGCCATTCGTTCTTGTTGGCAGTTGTTCACCTTGAACGACACCAATGAGTAATCGTCTATATTCTTGCCCAAACTGTTCAAGTAGTCACCAATGATTCGAAGACATGTTTTTTCTGCTTCTTTCATGGTAATGGTTTGGTCCTTTGTGATATCTTCACACATATGTGATTTATGTTGATCCCATGACTTTTTTGGATTGGGTACATCACAATAAACGAGTAGTGTTGCAAATAGTCTTCGTAGACTTGATGGCATTTGATAAGTAGTGGCCTCTATCATGCATTCTTCGATGTTGGTTTCATTGAGAAGTAACCCCTGCTTCTCCGCAGCCTCCCTAAAGGTTTTGCACATATATCCATCAACAGCGAGCAAGTCATCGTATGATTTTGGTAAACGGTTGTGCATAAGTAGTAGGCGAAGATAGTATCTTTCTCCTTCTGTTGGGTTAACCGATGCTAGTCTTCCAACCACGTCTTTGCTTTTTCTTTGGGTCCAAAGTCTTTGTTGGGTGTGCCACACAAAGTATTCTGGGAATTCAATATAAGAGAGATTTAGTTGTCGTGAAACTTCGTTATGGGTGTTCATGTGGAAGAATTGCGTGAGCATGGTGCGCGTACTTATATCTCCAGCAATGATTTGTTTTACCCTTTGGTTCCCATAGAAGTTGAGATATTAATGGTTTGGCAAATGAACTGATAGATGTATCACTGCTGGTTTTATCTCTGACATTGTGAACCCATATATTCGCCACATTGCCTCCGGTGGTGAAACCCATCGGCCTTTTTGGAAGTTAGTGATTTCATCGATGACCTCATTTTCAGGTTGTTGCATGTTGAACCCAATTCTATCGTGACCTTTATAGATGTACTTATAAAGGTACTTTACTGACTTCACAGTTGCACATACTTCCAAATTAGCATGACAGTCATATTTCATCAATAGGTAGGGGCTATAGGGGACTACCCAACGATTGTCAAGAGTGCAGTTCCTTACATCCACTGTGTTTGTGCTAAGTCGCCTACGGTATATGGGAAAGCAATCTTCATCAAAGTTTGTTTCTTCTGTGTTTGGTTTTGGGTATTTGCTTTTGCACCCTGGTTGTTGATTTGGGGTTTTTCTAACCATACAAGGGCATTTGGGATTAATCGTTCCGCAAGGCCCATGAATCATGTGTTTCTTCACTCTGGAATATAGTTCTAGATATTGTTTCGAGTCGGGTATCTCGGCGGAAATGATCTTGTCACATTGTGGTGCAGAAATAATTTTGTTGTGCCTCTTTAATACTATTAGGAAATGGGCGTGTGGCAGGCCCCTCTTCTGGAATTCAATGACATAGGTGTAAGCAGAAACTTCGCCAAAGATCTTCCTTTTGAACAAATCTGTTTTGAGTTCGTGTATTCGGCCATTGAATATTCGCGCGACTAAGTCGGGTCTGTTTTGTGCTTCGTCAGCATACCGCAATGATTGTTTTATTTCTGGCCAATTGGGGTTGCAAGTAATTGTTAAGAATAAGTCTGGTTTCCCAAACCGTTGGACCAGTGCCATGGCGTCCATGTATCGTCTTCGCATATTGCGTGGTCCTCCAATGAAGCTTACTGGTAGCACAACTCGTTTCCCAAGTTCTTCACCAAACTCTAGTCCCATCTCAATGCTTTCTACAACATCATTTAGTGTACTTGTACGCTTGTTTTTTTTCTTGTTACGAAAGTAGTCCAAGCGTTGTGTTTCCAATTTCACATACATATCAACCACGAATTGCTGTAGTAGTCTCCCTGTGTGTAGTAGGAATGACTCATTGTTAGGCCGCATTTGTAGTTTGTATGCATAATACTCACGGCATGAAACTGTGTTTTTCTTTTCCTGACCATTGTTGAATTGGTCTTCTTCAGCTTCAATGAGGTCGGTGAGGCTTCCAATATTAGTGGATGTGATATTTATGTTTATGGAGGCTTTGTTTGTCACAGTGGAGAGATTACGACATACTTTCTCTATGCCTTCATGCCACCCCATTTCGCCATAGGGGAATAACAATGGATACTGCAGAGGGTCATAGCAGCTGTAATAATATTGAATGGTTTGTGAACGGCCACCTTTTGCATAGACCCGAATATGCCTATTCTCACTGACACCGTTTGCATCTTCTTCTACCCAAATGGCTGCAACTTGTGATGTTGTAGGCATATTGCATACTCTTTGGTCTAGTGACGGATTTGTTTTCAGAATAACGCTAAACTCGTCAGTAGTGTTCATATCCTTCAAGCTGTGGAAGAATTTGGCATGTGGGTTTTCAGCTAGACTTGTGAGAATAATATCTATGACTTCTTTGTCCATCCTTGTGCCATGACAGTGTAACGTTTCTTTTGATATTGTGTCTGTATCATAGAAATACAATTTTAAATTTCTTGGTGGGCATTCATCTGGCAACATGTCATTGATGAAATGGTATATCTGTCCTTGTACTTTGAATGTGTAAATTCCTTTATTTCTGCGACATAGGCTTGCGTCATAGTTATGAATTCCAATTGAAGTGAAGGCGAAAGTGTTGTTGTATGTTCTGATGGATGTTTGAAAATGTTTTGATGCGTCATTTGTGCCACAGAATAGATCTTTTAACACTGATGGAGTAGCCGGATTTGAAAGTACTATTTGGCCTTTTGCACAGCAAAATGTTGGTGGTTCATTTATGTAACGTTGCGCTCCACAGTACACGCAGTCTGGCGCCGCCTGTAACTGGTATGTAGCAATATGCTCTGTGTTGCTGTACGAGTTTATCTCTCTTGCGAGAGTTGGCTGGGTGTTTCCTGATGATGATCCTGAAAGTTTTTGTGGTTATTTTAAATATGTATGTCCTTGTGGATGTATAATAGATCGTGGGTTATTTGAATTCAAACCTTCTGTTGTTTGTTTTGATTGGTTTCGTGGTCATCCTCGAGGTTTCTTTTGCGGGACTTCTTCAGTGTGTAGGTTTGTTGCTGCTTCTGCCTCAATTGCTTTTTCGTTGTAAGCTAATCTGCGCCTGAAGTTTCTTTGATCTAATCTTTCACGTTTTGACTTTTGACTTCGCGTTTCCGGCATACCTCTGTTCCTGTATTAATGTATGGCTTTATGTATTAGAATTGGGTGAAGGTAATACATTTGGTCTATTCTCGATGAAATTATTAGGTATTATAAACTATGGGAAGCATTGTTGTAGTGGGTTTTTTTAATTGTACGTTTTGATTTTTAAGGCGAAAGTTTATGAAAGAGGTATGTGGAAGTGCAATTTTATTGAAAGTTTAAAGTACTGGAGTGGTTTGTTCCCAACAATCTGATCATACTTGGACTGCATTGTATAGTTTTGGTACACACCTAAGTGGACAGGTTCTTTTTCATTTTATAGTCAAATTATAAGTTCATCGAAGTTGTTAATAAGTTAATAATTCTTTGAATAATGTATATATTGTCTCCCCCCCAAGTCTCCCGCACTCCACACTTGTTCCTCTATGTTTTTTTGTTGTTTAATGACCAAGAGATGCGATGATTTATATTCCTCTTACGGTTGAATAGTATTAAATCTGCCTCAAATAACTTAAAATAGACGTTTTTATTTGGTTTTATCTACATCATTGAGAATTGGGAGTACAATTAAGTGAGGCCGAATTAAATAAAGGAAGAGACAAATTAG